AAAGAACAAAACAAAACAAATTTGAAAACCTAACTCTACTGCTGGGCCGGCCCGAAGGACACGGCGGCCCACAGCGCATGCGCAAGCGCAGCCCAGCCACGTCGTGGCCTAGGCTGGCTCCCGCCTCCGCTTCAGCGACTGACACACGGGACCCGCGAGACAGTGAGACAGGCAGGGGAGGAGAAAGAGACGGCGGCGTAGCTCGTCGACGGCGACAGCTCCGGTGAGTCCAGCGGTGCTATGGCGTTCACCTCACCTGTGCGCATCTAGCGGTGCCATCAATTGAAGCTATTGCTGCGGCTAAAGGCAATGGCGACGGCAATGGCGGCGCATGGCCACGGCTTGGCCGGCTCCGACGAGGCTACTGCGTCACGGCCCTAGTGGCCTACTCTATGAGCTTCAGCGTCACGCACAGGACCTAGCGCAAGGGAGAGAAGGGATTGGAAGGCCGCGGTGGCAGTTGGTCGCGTGGAGCGCCAACTCCGGCGAGGTCCCGCCATGGCGACGGTGGAAGAAATGGCGATTATGCCCTTACCAAACCCCAATCGACCCGGCTAAATGGTGGAGGAGGTAGAGGAGATCACAGCGAAGCTAGGAGCAAGAGGGCCGACGCGTTTTTGTAGTGGCGAGCACGCAAGGCGACGGCGACGCTCGGTCAGAAATGGAGAAGCTGCGGCGGCTTCGGTGCTGCGTGCGGTGGAGGCGAAAGAATGCAAATGGAGCAGGCGAGTGCGTCGGGCAGGCGCTGGCTTTCATCAGGAGCTCGGACGCGCGACGTGGAGACGTTGGCCGAGCATGCGCGCCACACGGCGATCAGCTCCTGAGCCGGTCGGCCACGGTGAGCTCTGTCCGTTATCTGAAATTTTCGATTAAGTGTTCAATGACGACGACTGACAGCGCGAATTCAACGTGTCAACACGGCTAAACCATTGATCCATTGCAAAAACTGTGTACATGAAAAATGTAGGCCTACCATCCATCTACAACTTCTTTTCAAGGACCATCATCTAATTCGCCATGGATCAGAAGTTACATCAAGCCAAAGGTGGCTCAATCAAACTGAAAATGCAGTTAGGACTTAGAAATATTTTTCAGTGTTGAATCCACCATCAATAATGACTTGTGGGCCATGTTTGAGCATGTTCTAGCCATTTTCATGAGTTGATCATAAAACAACTTTTGTTCCTTGATAAATTGGCTACAACTTTGGTAAAGGGTGCATAGCCATGCAAGGTCTCTAAGTTGGTCTTTTGAATCAGTCAAACAGTGGCACTCTAAGGGTCATTCAAAGTCAAACCTCCACTTGAGGGCATTTTTGTCATTTTAATCCATATGAACAATGTTCCAACAATTACCCTAAGTGTAGTTAAGGTGTATTAGACCATAATCAACCACTTTACACAAGTGCTATACCAATTTCTAATGATCACATGTGATGAAGCAACAAAACAATCAATTCACTCAAATGTTGCAATTCCATGTTTCACATGTTTCATTACTTTTGTTGCAATTTTAACTTGCCACATTCCTACCATGTTGCCATGTTTCAAGGTATGAGAAACTCATGTTGCATTCACATGTTGCACTACTATCATTCACAAGCAAATCAAGTATGAAACAAACAGAATTGCGAATGTTGCATATGTATATTTCAGTGACAATGGCATGATGTGATAGATGATGCACATGTTTATGAAATGAAATGCAATTTTGTGGAAGCCAAACACCTGGGGTGTTACAGGAGAGGCCCACACCAACGCTCGTGCGAGAATGGAGATGGCCTTGACATCGCAAACGTTGTTTGTCGAAGAAGGATGGTGTTTGGGTCTCGCCGACCTGCTAGTGAATGACCAAATCGATTAAATCGATGGCGGCGGCGGCGGTGTGTTACAACAAATAGCTGGTGAACAACTAGAGGTTGAAGATAAGGGCAATTTAGACTTTTCCCCCATTTTCTCTCTCCTCAAAACTGAAAATGAATAAAATAATCAGTGCGGTGTATCTCGCCAAAGAACCATGAATTTATAATGTCCGCTAGTAAATTTCGACGTTGACGGCGTTCACTGGCCAATTGTGTCCCACAGCAAAATTTCCCTACAAATTATGAATAAAGTAATAATAAGAAGCTCGATTACACGGTAATCGCTGCAACAGTTGTAGGCATGCACAACTGTATCCTAATGAGTAGATTGATCTACCCCAGCTGGATTGCCAGTCACACATAGGCACAGGAAATTCTGGAGGCAGTGATGCATCTTTGCATGACACGTCCGGGTACAGCTCTTTGGGGTGACCCCTCTTATGCCACTTGTGCCTACCCATCTACATAAAAAAACGATTAATTAGAGTAAAAGGTATAATAAGCATTTCCTTTTTACTACAACATTAAACAACTTAGTTTTTAACTGACCTAAACATAGAGCAAACATGTAAATGTATGTTGGGTAAAACAATCACACAAGCATCAAAGTTGAACACAAGTCAAAGTTGTATTCATTTCATTATCGTATTGTACGTGTTAGAGGGGATATTTATAGAGGTCCTAACCTTCATACATGTATACAAATGACCATTTTACCCCTCTTCTAATCAATACAACCCCCTCAAACTACAGGGGCGAAGTTGTCTTTTTCACTATTCTAAGCTTCAATCTTCAGCTTGCATTCGCGTTGTCTTCTTTTGACTTCGTCTACTAAACGAAACCAAATTCTTGTCTTCGCTCCCATCTTTTTCTAGCTTTCTCCTTATCCATAGCGAAGTTAATTTCTTTTGGGCGAAGTCAAAACATCATCTTCGCTCTTTGATTTCCTGCATGCAAACTTTGTTACAAAACTTAAAGGTACAACTCCAGAGTTTCGGGGCTAAGTTTTATGACGAAGCAAAATCCCCAACAACACACAAATCAAGGGCAGCCAGTGCACCCAACCTTCCTAACGTATTTGATCCATCTAAATTACTTTGCATTTCTTCCCAGAGAAAGATTTTGCTTTAAACCTGAGCTACCAAGGCAGCTCCTCAAATCCACCAACAAAAACACGAAATGGGAGGGGATTTACCTTGCCCTAGGCCGAGGGAAAGCTTGGGGGCGACCACCAACTACCTCTAGAGCCCGATCTGACGGGGAGGAGGGCAATGGCGCCAGTCGGGCCGCTGGGAGCGCCCCGCTGAGTGGGACAGAAGAAAGAAATGAGGAATAGAGAGAGGGAGGGAGCCACGAGCGACTCTGTAAGTTGCCCTTGCCGCGCTAGTCGGGATGGCGCGGCAAGCCCCGTGGCAGAGTCCATGGTGCGGCAGCGAGAACCATGTCAACGAGTCAGCGGCCGGCTGACCTGCCACGGTGGTAGGCCAACCGCGCCGTCATGCATGGCGTGGTAGCGCGGTTTTGAAGCGCCAATGCAATTGGCGCGGCCAAACAGGTTAGATTTAAAAAAAATAATCAACCGTGTTATTTTTATAAATAGTATTAAAAATGGTTAAAAATAATAAAAAAATTATATATATTTAGATATATAGCAAAATAGATGTAAAAAAAATTAAAGTGACTTATAATTTGGAACTAATTGAGTACATCTTTACTTCATTAGTAAAACGATTTTTTTTACTTAGCTGGTTGAGCGATACCATTATATTTTTATTCTTGCATAAAATTTTTCTTATTTATTTTAATAATTCACTCCCTATTCTCTCTCCTGCTTATCTTCTTCAGCCTCCAGTTTCCACCGCACGCACGCATCCTCTTCTTCCTCGTCTTCACTCCATCTCTTTCTTCTGGACTGCCTGCCTGGTACCCGCCTGGTTCCAGGCGATAGAAGTACGGCGACCACCTATCTATCTGCCTCCACCTCGTGAGCAAGCCATCCAAAAGCGTCAAGGCCATCTTCAGGTCTTCGTCAATCCAACAAGGGCGGCGGCGGCATGCTGCCTGCCTGCCTGGTACGGGAGGTCGGAAAGGCGATGGGCGGCGACAACACAAAGGTCACGATCGGTTAGGGCTAGGAAACGTCGGCCTTTTTAGGTACGTAACCGAGAACAAATCACATACGGGCGAAAACGTCCAGTGCCAAATACAGGAAATAATACTAGAAAAGGAAGAAAATATATAGGCCCGTTCGCTGGAAGAAATTTGGAGAAATCTAAATAAATTTGAAGTAATCTGTGAGAGAAAAACACTGTTTTGAATAAAAAAGAAACAGATCAAATCGAGTTTAAAGGCATACGAACGGGGCATAGAAAACGTAGCCGCAGCCCGCAGGCGCGTCCCTTGCTCCCTTCGGTCCAGCGATGGTGGCCGCAGCCCGCAGGCGCGTCCCACTTAAATGGAGTGGTCTCTGCAGCAGCGGTTGCGGGATGGCCACGGCGATTGCAGTGCACATGTACACGATCCCGGTGCCTGCGTGCACAGAGGAGGGACTCACGTGCGTGGCCTTGCTTAGGCCTGACGGGGTTTGGAGATCTCGATTTCGTTTGGCAGGAGGTGTGCAGATTTGCCCCAATTTTACAGGCAAAAAGGAAAGGAGAGGGGAAATCAAAGAATGGAAGAAGGAAACAAATCATGCGTGCGTGAATTAAACTGGAATTGGGAGCGTCGGCAGTCGGGGATCTTGTAGGGAACGGGAGCGCCGGGCGGGTCCGCGGGGAGCGACGGCTTTGTTTCCTTTTGCGCGACGGAGGCGGAGAAGGAAACTTTGAGTGAATTTTGGACGGTATGTTTCATCCGTGTCCATGGCCACGTCCGTGATAGCTGGGAAGGGGTAAAAGAAAAACACGGAGGAACTGACTAGGCAGTCACCGGGATATGGAAGCCTACGAGGCCTAGCCCCTCTAGCGCCTAGCCGTGTTCCACCCCGCCGCCGTGTTGCGTTTGATCCGCCATGGCACGCGGCGCCTTCTATATATATACGCCGCCTCGCCCTGTGCCTGCACCGCCGGCCTCGCGAACTACTCCTGGCATCCGATTACTAGCACGGCGAGGGAAGCAAACCACAACGACAACGATCGCAATGGGCCGCCGCAAGGTTTCCATGGGGCTCATCCCGAACCGCCGCGTGCGGGTCTCCACGTTCGGCAAGCGGAAGGAGGGGCTCAAGAAGAAAGCGAACGAGCTCTCCGTGCTCTGCGGCGTCGAGGTCGCGCTCGTCGTGGCCCCGGCGCCGGACGGCGACGGCGGCGCGGGGGCGGCCACGGCCAAGGCGGACGTGTGGGAGTCCAAGGAGGGCGTGCTGGCCCGGTACCGGGAGCTCGACCCGGAGCTGCGCGCGCGGCACACGTTCCGGGAGTACCTCTACGCCGAGCTGGGCAAGGAGGAGGCCAAGCTCGCCCGCGTGCGCCAGGCCGGGCCCGACGGCCTCGACTGCTGGGACAAGGCGCTGGACGGCGTCGACACCGTGGAGGAGGCGCAGAAGCTGCTCGACGCCATCGACGCCGCCATACAGGCCGCGGACGACAGGCGGAGGGCGCTGGGCATGCCGGTCGACGACGACGATGACGGTGGCGCCGGGATCGTGCTCGAGGGGATCGCTCCGCTCAACTCTGCGCACGTCGACGACGGCTACCTGCTGCACGCGCTCGGCGGCAACGTCGACGCCAACGACCAGGCCATGGCCATGTGGGGCAATAACGGCTTCCACCCGTGCAGCGCCACCAACATGCAGTACGGGTTCCAGCAATTCAACAGCAGCAACGTCGCCATGGAGGGCTACGACCTGCAGATGGTGCCGGACATGTACAACAACGGCGGCCTCGCCACGGACGCCTACCACTACCAGACGCGCCATGCCGGCACAATGCAGCACGGCTACGTCTTCCCGTGCGCACGTGCCAGCGCCAGCTACTTCGGCATGGCTCCTGGCTACCAGATGCAGCAGGTGGTCGGCAGTGGCGCTATCCATCCCAACCTGGCCATGTCGAGCGCCGACGAGCCACGACACGCCATGGCGCCATTGCCAGCACTGGAGTACCCCTCAGCCGACACTAGCCTCAACTACATGGACACGCAGGCGACACACGGTGTCCACGGCGGCAGCGGTGGCACGTCCTTCGCTATGGACGCCAGAGGCAACTTCATCAACGCACCACCAGCCTTCTCCGTCGCCATGAGCACCGGTGGTGGCGGCGGCAACTTCATCAGTGCGCCGCCAGCAGCACCTTCCCATACCATGGGCGGCACCAGCGACAACGTCAAGCCAGCCCAGACCCTCGCCATGAGCTACGGCGGAGACATGACAATTGCCGGCAGGTACGCGACGCAGTCCGGCATGGAGCAGCTGCATTACCTCGGTGACCTGGAGGACACGCAGCCGAACCTATGGGGAAACTAACCTTGCTTGCAATCAGATTAACGCTAGTAAAGTAGTACAGTATAGTAGTGTCTAGCGTCGTAGTAGGGTCAGATGCGCGACATCACGAGTCCGGCAATTTTGGGTGACACAAGACTGGCCGCCAGGTAGTGCTGATGTCGTCGCCGCCACCGCCGCCCATTGTCCCGAGCGATTTTCCCGGCAAGTGAGCAAGGGACAGGGTCTAGGCATATATATAGGCAGGTTGTCCATGGTCACCAGGTGAGGACGCGGAGACTTCGTCAGTTTCGCTGCTCAGCTAGGTAACAATCCGGCAAAACTCTGTCAGCTTTGTACCTCTGCTTGGTTGATGGATGGAGCAGACAGATTTTAGGATTCAGGAGTTTTGTTAGCCTGGATAGTTGCAGCAATTTTGTACCCTAGTCTCCGGAGATTATCCTGGCAATCATGTAAATGTGACATACAAATATACAAGTATACATCATACATCTCTCTCTTTCTCTTCCCCACATCAAATGCATAGGTTCAGCGATGAAAATAGACAGCGAACGGTAAACAAATCCAAACAATATACCTTGACAATGCAAGTGACACAGATTGTTTAATTTCTTGCTCTAATAGCTTATCATAATAATCAGTGATATCATTCACGTCACATTGCATTCCTAAGGTCTAGATTAATTAGTGTTACAAGCTCACAACCTAGTGTCACATAAGATGATCAAACGGGCCAGGCCACCACTAGAAAGAGTGTTAACGGTTACTAAATTACCACTGGGACATGCCGCATTTTATATATGCTCATCCAAATTTAGAAGTCGTAATCTGATCCTCGACAAACTTGTTGACCGGTCACACCGTAATCTGATCCTCGACAAAATCAACGTCATGGTGAGGATGTTCGTCTGGGTTTATAGGGCTCTGGTACTTAGCATCCTGGGTTGAATTTGGACAAGAGAGAGGCCTTTGATCCAACTGTACACCCACAGCTTCTTTCTGATCCTGTTCAAGCTCGTCAGCATGTACATCAGAACGGCCTTGTTCTTGTTCATGTCCACTGCTGGGCAGCACATCACATGGATGGGGGTTCTGCACCCTCATTTGCACCGATCTCAAAAGTGCGGCTCGCCTCAGATCTCCACCATGGCACATGTCATTAGGTGAGGATGGGATCCGGCCTTCCTGTTCAGTGCCACAACCACGGCGAGCAGGCGAGCAGACCACTGCTGGGACCACAGCTGGGAGGGGGAGCAGCTGGGGAGAGGGGGGTATGGACATGCAGAAGAGAACCAAGTGTGTAGCTTATGGGGACGGTGTGGAGATGAAGCTGGACTAGTTGACGAATTACCCAGTACATCTGTTTGATTCCCATTGGTGTTTACTTGAATGTCATAGTACCTGTAATCATCTGACTCTTCTGACATAGGTGAGTACTGCATGCTCATCTCATCCCTACAAGGATGCAAATAAAACAGTCTGAGATTGTAAACCATAAAAATGTAATAGATAGAATCATAGTAAAAATAACTAAGCAATTGGAGTAAAAGAAGATATATGCAAAGTTCAGTAATTTTTCCAACACAAGCAGAGATACATTCCTAAAATATTTGCAACATCATCATTGATAGCATGAAGAATATTCTGAATTGTAATAAACATCCAGTTGGTTTGAAGTATCAGTAGAAATGGCAACATGATATAAGTATACAGTGGAGAGTTATGCCAGTAGGTGGTAGGTGATTTTGCAGAGTTATGCCTTTCAACAGGTTTAGTATAGAAAAAAGCTAAGCAATTACGCAAAGCGTAAAGTATGCTGGGTTAAGTTTATACGATATTAAAGTAAGGGATTATACTTATTACATTGTTAAGAGTGATACAAAAAGAAATCTAATTGCCAACATTTATGACGGTCCAACAGCACAGTGAAAGTAGTAAGGATTGCGTATAATGCATGGATATAATGCATTGATCCTCAGGCGATATAAATAGAGTGCAAGACTTAGGGAGCAAGATGCCTCCCAGATATATGGCATATGGCAGTACAAGATTACAATATCCTTAACTACCAAATATACTCTAACATGCCCCACAGTCGTAGCAGGAGCATCGAAAATAATCAGACTAAGAAGCCAAGACTAAAATCTACTGCAGGCGTAGCAACATTGCAATGCAGATGCTGCGACTGGAGTAGAAACCAACTAAAAGTAGCTCATGCACATGATAGCCGGTTTTTAGTCACAGAAGTAGTCAAGGTCGAGGTGGACGTGGTCCAAGCCATGGAAGGGAGGCACAAGTCGCCTTCCGGCAAAGCATCAACAACAGAGGCACACAAGCACACATAATCACCAGCTTCTCGCTGACAACCGCAGCAGGACAAAGAGCCGGTCAGATGGCGAAGATAGGCCAGGCTACTCGGACGCATCAACGAGCGCCACACCCCTAATGGCAGCAGCTCGGTGTCCCCAAGGGCCTCCTCTGCAGCCATGTGTTCGCTCTTAAGGGCAGTGGCAGTAGCAGTGAAGGGGAGGGACGAGGCAGATCAGGCACGGCTAGGGAGAGGGTGGCAATTCCTGACGATGGTGACTCGACGGGACAGCATAGAGGATCAACAATGACAATGAGTAGCATGGCAGCCCATCAATGCCCACGGCGAGCCATCCTGATGATTTGTTGCTACTCGATGCTAAGGTGGCAGATCAATTATATATGTACAGCCAAAACCTTCCTATGAGGGCACTTCCCCCAGCGGAGATAGATTTCCCCGAAGGCGGTGAGGCGGCAGTGGTAGTGGAAACGTCAACTCAGGATCAAAACCCAGAACTCATGACACCATGAAAGCGGGAAGGATTGCGTATAATGCGTGGATATATTGCATTGAGCCCTTGGGCAGTATAAATGGACCCTAAGACTTAGGAGGCAAGACGCCTCCCAGATACATATGGCAATATGGGATTGCAATATCCCCAGCTACCAAATATCTACTCTAATACACAGGTTTGAAATATTGGAAGCCAGGGCCAAAAGGTATATCCATGTCAAGAAATCGTGACCTGTACTTACATTCTCCTTTTTCATGCACACAGGTACTATTGCTATGTGACTAGCTGTCTAGCTGACTGGCATGGGTAATATCCAGGTCTCAAAGACTTGGCCTTACCCGGGCTCAGTGCTTGAATGGCTGAACCAAACCATGTCAGCAATGTTAAAGGAGTAACATGTAGCTGGATTGCTAATATTAATTGGGTCACGTGGTTCAAAAGTGAAGCTCCTTTTCACTCTACCTACCAGATGTAATAACATATACAAAGTACAGCTTCAGAATCCGGCCACTAAGAGCTAATCCAAACAAAGCCCTTCTAAAAAGGTAGTGTGGTTCGTTAAGTACAGATCCCTTCTGTTCAGATAAAATTTCCAGTGAAATTCAAAGACAAATTCCCTGTTTTGTATGACCTAGCACATGAACCTGACCTGAAGAGTTTCAATTTTGATTATGATGAAATATATTATCAGCTTTATGAAGTTACTAAATAGTGAAGATGTAACACATATCAACTTATACTGATAATGTGTGTGATAGGACATATAGAGAAACTTTTTTCTTAGATAACGAGGATGTATAGAGAATTAAGGTATGAATACCTAATGCAATAAGCATTCTCCAGTCTCATTGGGGACCCCATGATATTGTCAGGAGCTGAATCTCCAACGGACAAGCCATTCATGCTGGATGCCATTATCTGCAAGAGCCTATGCAACAATTGAGGATTTATACATGTAAAATGCAGGAACATGTGAATATTTTCAGAATATATAAGATCTGATGCTCAACAAAATCCTACAAAATGACAAACGGTTAGCCTTACTTTTCGGCAGCTAAAGGACACTTATAGCTATGGAAATTTGATCTGTATGTATTGAGTTTTACTGGAACAGCAACATATCTTTGTATATAAGCTAAGATCATCTAGAAATATACCAATTGTATGATATTTTCAGAACGACACTCCCCTTTATTATTGATGATGAATCGAAAAAATACACCACCTCCGTCATTCTGCTCAACGTAATTAGCATTTAGTATATGGCCTAGGATAAAAGGTGAGATAGTATTTGGCCCTGAATCAGTTTATGATTTGGAATGGAATGAAGCTCAATCAAGTGGACCCTAAGCAAATGATACAATGATTTGGATTTCCTTCCCCAAATCCTGAAAAAGCGGCAAATTAGAGGGGTGGCCTTCCCCACCGAACAGTGACAGAGAAATTCAGCAGACGTCGAGAGGATTAGCAGCGGCACAGCCCACGCTCATCCTGTGGACCCACGCGTTACCTTACCGCCAAGGCACACGACGCGAGCCATCTATTCTCCCCAGTCCCCACCAAGTTCGGGTCTACGAACGAACGCACACGGAAATTGCCCAATCGCGGAACCAAGTTATTATGCTCGCATGACAGAGAGACGGACGGACGGACGGAACGGACCTCGGTGAGGTAGCGCTTGTGGGAGTGGAGGTTGTCGACGTAGACGTCCTCCTCCGGGTCGGGGACCCTCCCGCGCTTGCCGCCGTTGGGCGCCGGGGACATTGCGGCCTGGCCTCCGCCGCCGCCGACCATTTGTGCAGTGGAACTGTGGAAGTAAAAGCTCCCTCCGGGTCCGGACACCGGGCGAGGCGAGGGAAGGGAGTGTGTTGCAATGCAATGCAAAAACAAAAAAACAAAAACAAAAAAAGCCGCTTCCCGTTCCCGTTACTAGCGAGCTCCCTCCCGCTCCTCTTTTCTCCGGTGTATTGAGATGCGTCGACGTGTCGACCCGCGCGTGGGTCGGCATCGGCAAGAATCAAGCGCAAGGCCCCCCTCTCGCTTTTCGCTTCTCGCTTTTCGCTTTCGTCGTGTGTCGAGCAGACGAGAGGAGGCACCTTCTTTTCTTTTGTTTCACTCATTGATTGAATTGATGAAACGAAACGATCTGAGCTGCTTTTCTGCATCCAGGATTTCAGGATCTGAAATTCCCTGTCAGCCGGCATGTTCGCTCCGAACTTGTTGTCGGGGCCCAGAGGGAGGGCGAACAGAAAATTTGACCAGACGGTGAGACGGACTCCTTGGTCCACGTCCAACGCCGACGCCGCCTGATTGCATGATCCGGCGTGACCGCGTGTTCACTGTTCACTGCCTCGGTTAGTTGTGTGCCTGTCATCATATAAGACCAGAGGATGTGTTGGTTGGCCGCGGTGTCCGGCTGCCTAGCCACACGGTTTCCCCATTTGATTTCGGACGACGTCTGGGTTAGGATCGCTAGACTGGCTAGGCAAACATGATCCGCTCAGCTCCAAAATGTATCTAGGCGCATGTCTTTTTTTCTTTGCTTTCCTTTTCCTTCGGTTCCTCCTAAAAATAAAGAATGGGCTCAAGGGCTCTATTGCGCCACACCAACATCCCTTAACACATATCACTTCATCACTTCATGGTTAATCTGTTACCATGGCGACGCGAGGCAACATGAAAAACTGATGGGGCCCGTTTCAAGTGGGAATATCTGCACGTGCAATGCCCTCTTCTCCTATTTATGGCCTATGTCGTCTAGCTACAGTCGACCAAAATTTGGCCTAGTCCGATGATTTCGGCCCATATATGAAGTGCAAAACAATTATACTTGAGCCCGTGTTTCATGCATAGTCGCATTTGGTAGCTTGGATGGAAGATGAACTGGTTAGACAAGATTTGGAAATATGAATGAGTAGTCTTGCAATTAGATGGTCGTAGGCTTAGTCTGGTAGTGTTATGGTTCTGTCTGCAATTTTGACTTGTCAATTAGTTGCATGTTTCTTATATGCTTAGAATTGGTAGGTCAGTGTACTTGGCCTTGTTTGCATTTCTTGTAATGAAGCTATGATACATTGTCTTTGATATTTTGTAGATGGATCATTTAGTGCTTATGTCTCACAGTGGGAGGGTCAAAGATATTAGGGTATTTTCCCCGCAAAAAAAATATTAGGGAGTTTTGGAATACGAAGAAAGTGGTTGAGTTGTTTGAAAGTCCGCCTAGTTTTAGTGAGCTTGTATGTCATGCAAGGGAGAAGTTTGATAATGAGGTCGCATTATGAGGATAGTTTGATTATGGGAAGGATAGTGCACATTAAGTGCTGATGAACTTGTCAACCGAGCAGCATTGGAGGTATTACAAATAGGTTCTGAAAAGGGCTAACACAAGTTGTTTTGAGGTGGTGGTTGACAGTGGGCATAGGAAAAACATGTAGATGTTGGCGGCGTTTACTGATCAAAACCGACCGCCAACTAAGGTGCAAAGGAGGAGAAATTGACAATCTTAAACACATATGCATTACTATTAACCAAGTTCCACATGTATTTAGAGAACATTATTTTGCAGGTCACAAACACAAATACATGGAAGATTTCACCGAAAGACGCTTTTCGACGCTTATTTGCGCAAAGGAACAAGGGAGACGCCCATCAACTCGACTCAAACCGGGCAAAGCACCACGGGGAAGCAATCCAGGTCCAGCCCAAAGCCTGCCACACGAAGGCGGTGGCGAGGCGGCACGGTCAAGGGCGGCCGACCCCTAGGGGCGGGCGACCCCCTGCCGGCGGTGCATAGCCACCCCTTCGACAAGCGGTGGCATGCCTCCATGCTGAGGCAGTGCAGCCCGGAGTTTCACGCCAAGAATAGCCAAAGCACCGCCCTTGCTCCTTGTATAAATAGAGGGGTACCCCCCTCTACAACACACACTCAACTTGAGCATCACCTCACACACCACTACCTCACTCCCTTCTAGTAGTTGTAGTTTTTACTTTTTGGTAGCTTTAGAGCAAGGCAAAGATACCTTAGAGAGCTTGGCTCCTTGGAAGAAGAGACCTTTGTGTATGAATAGAGATATGAGTTCTTCTAAAGTTATGCTCTCATATTACAATTATAGTCATACTTATGAACTAGAGTATAGTTATTATGTGATGATCTTGATATATGAACTAGTCTATAGTTTGTATGTCATGAGAGTAGCATACATGACTTTATGCTTAACTACTCATATAACTTATAGAATTGGAATTAGAGCTAAGTTAAGGTGGCGGTTCATCGTGCCGTCAGGTGTGCCCAAGTCCTTTACCTATCGATCCGTAGGGTCGGGGACCCGAAAGGATTTGGGCAGTTTCTGTATACGTAAGCATGGTGCTTGGGTATGGAGAGACAGGTGAATGCATTGTCCCTCTCCATGGTTGAGGTGGTAGACGGCAGGTGGTGACAACCCTGTCCGTCCCTTGTAATCGCCCACGTTCGTTTGGGTGTAGGACTCTAAATTGTCATATGAGGTTGCTGACAGACCAGTACTCGGTGGTCTCTTGACCTGCTTTACACTTAGCCCTGAAACTAATTATGTAACTTGTATTATCATTAACTAATATTTGTATGACTATACTAGACCAATGCCTGCTCGACTTAGGATTATTCTTTTATTCTTTCTTTTCTATTTTATCATTTGAGGAATGCCAAGTGTGTGTCCACTATCTTGAAATCACCATTTTTACCCCTGTTATAAACATTGGTGTACTTGCAAGCATTATTATTCAAGTTCATATCCATACTATACTCTTAATCAAATGCATTCCTTTGAGAAAATATAAATAACGATATCCTGAATACTTTCAGGTGAAATGCTACAATGATAGCTCCATGTGCTTGGGATAAATATCTAAAATTGTTAAGGAACCATCAAGGAACCTCTGGCATCGTTGCTAGGGATAAAAACTCAGTAACGACGCTCGGTCTTGCCAACCGGTATTTCTGGCGTCATTGCTGAGGATGGATTCAAACCCCATTCTTCGTAGTGATGTTAAGAAATGCCAACAAACATTTCTGGCACCGTTGCCAGGGAAGACATATTGATTAAATAATCTAGTGGGACATGTTCATGATAATATGCATGTAAGGTAGCCATTATTTATGCAGGCTAACTTTGCTTGTTTTTTCCTGTTGTGGATGAAAACAGGATAGTGTATGACCTGTTTCGACCTGCCGAACAACTATACTCAAAATCCGGAGGCACTCCTAAGAAAGAAACGGTCTCATGCAGCTTCTTCTTCTGCTACTCCTCCGATAGTTGAACCAGTCACCCCCACACCATCCGCTACTCCAATCATGGCCAAGACCCTCCGTGACTACTCCACCCCCGCTATTGCCAAAGTGCCCATGGAGCCCGCTGTTAACATTGGGGATGTGAACTTCGAGCTCCGTACCGGCCTCATCATGATGGTATAGGCAAACCAATTCCATGGTTTGCCTAGCGAGGATGCAAACACGCATCTCCAACACTTCCTCGAGCTGTGCGACACTATCATCATCAAGGACGTCGCACCTGAGAGCATCAAGCTCCGCTTGTTTCCCTTCTCCCTCTTGGGGAAGGCGAAACCGTGGTTCTACAAGGACAAGGAAGCTGTCAAGACGTGGGACAAATGTTCCACGGCGTTCATCGCCAAGTTCTTCCCCATGGGCAAAACCAATACCCTAAGGGGACGAATTTCGAACTTCCAGCAAAGCTCCATGGAAACCCTTCCCGAGGCATGGGAGAGGCTGTAGGACTACATCTAAGCATGCCTGCACCATGGGATTGAAAATTGGTTCGTGCTCCAAAATTTTTATGATGGATTCATACCCATGTCTAGGAGCCACCTCGACGCTGCTGCTGGAGGCGCTTTCCTTTCCCTCACTATTTATGGAGCCACGGCGTGGCCGTTTGCCTGAGTCACCGTCCTTCTCTCCCTCGCTTGCGTTGTGTCCGAGTTTTTAATGGGAGTGCCATGCGAGCTTTACTGCAGCCAGCAGCGGTGCAGCGCTCTTTACAGCACGAGTGCCACTGTCGCTCAGTCACGTCGTGCCAAGACAAGGTCAGGCCGAGTCAGTCCTGTCTCTCCCTCCCTTTTTCCTTTGCCGCCAAGGTCGACACAGCCGCTCCATTAAATTCGCTTGGTATCGATGACCATCTCCCGAGCCGTCACGTACGCAGCTCCACCACCAGGTCACTGAGTCACCCGAGCCCCAGGAGCGCCGTCGCCGACCACCACACGCGAGCGCACGCGTACCCTGTGGCTCCGCGCTGGAGCTGCAGTCATAGCGCTGCCCATCCACAGCACCTTGCCACCCCCAGTCGTGCCTGCTATGTCGTTACCTGGCTCCCCGCATGAGCGCGCGTGCATGTGGCCTCGCCCTGGTCCACAGCTCCCGTAGCGCTGCCCCATCCACGCCGGTGCGGCTTCGCCGTGCGTAGCTCCACTGGCCTCGAGTTGCATGCAGCTCCGCCTCACCTCGCTCCTCCTCATGCCAGCGTCCCCTCCTGTTCGTGGCTACCGCTGCCCCACAACACACGCCACGGCTGCGCCCGCCGTTGCCCTGCCCCCTCACATGCGCGCGTGAGCTCCTTGGTCCGCGCTGGACCTACGGCTCCTCAGCGCGTCCGAGCCACAGCCCCACTGCATTGCCCTATGCCGCATCCCCGCCGTCGCCCAGCCACCGCGCGCGAGCGCGCGTGCGTGCCTCTCGGCCCCATGCTGGGTCTACTGCTCCTCGGCGTCCCTTC